CTCGATTACGTGTGTGCGCGCGGCGTTCGTTCAACCAAACAGCCTCTTTGACTTTACCTATCTGCAGCAGGTTCTCCAGCTCGGCACCGGTTAGTTAAAATGTCGTAAGCGGCCTATTTGAGAAAAAAACACTGACCTCGATGTGCCGGCGATCTATGCTCTCCGCCAGGCCAGACTCGCACGCACCAGACGCAATTTTCACTTTTCATTTTTTTTAAACGCAGGCGTTATTTTGTGATGTAAACAAAATTAAAATTAATTATATTTAATCAAGTAAAATTTTTGTTTCTTACAAGAAATAAATGGTAATTATAAAGATATTTTGCGAACGAGAAACAAATAAAATAAAAATTATGTGCTCACATTTTCCTCTCTTTGTATAATTTTAATTAATAGAAAGGAGTCAAAATCTGCTGATTTGTTTTGCTCAATATTAAGCATTGCCGATTTTGCCAATTTTAAAATCGGCGTCATTATTTACAATAGAAATAAATAAATATTAGCTCATACTTTCGTCTAGCCACATCTTAATAGAAGAGATTTTTCAAATTCAAATAAAACTCAATATCGAACCATAAATTTTCTAGAGAAAAGCAAACCTCTTGAGTGGTTGTTTGAACTCTGGGAACACTCAAGCGAAAATTCGCCAAGTCACTCCCAAAAGCTTTTCATTCACCTGAATCGGAGCCGATTTCAAACAACGGAAGCGTCGTTCTACTTCCCGGCTATTGTTTCAATCAATTTTTAACAATTAAAAATTAATCTTGATCGTGGATAAAATGATAAAAATAAACACACCTTTTTCTTAACAAATCAATTTTTTTGCACAGACAAACGTCTTTTTTTTAGCACACCCCGTGACGTGCAGAACTTTTCACCGATATTGGTGCTAATTAAAATTTTCAAACTCGCACTGCGGTTGAGAGTTTCTTTTTATTAACGCCTTGGATTATTATTGAGGGCTCTGTCGCGAAAGTGTCAACTTGGCCGGCGCTGCATTGCACTGCATTGTGTGTCACAAGAGAGAAGAAATTAACACACAAAAGGAGTAGAGCCTCTCCCGCGCAATTCACATAAATTATAATAACACGCCGCGTGCACTTTCTGATGCCGTCCCTATCGCTATTTTTTGAGCCAAGGTGACAGTCCATTTAACACGAACCCCTATGAGAAAGTCACACTTTGATATATGCTTTGTATATAAAAAAAAGAAGTGATAAAAAGGTTGCGACAAGTAAATCATCTTTTTTTATTCTCGTTGCAAAATAAATAATAAATCACACTTTGCAACGTCACAAACAGGTATGATATGAAAATGTGCAACTTTGGTGTGGGAAATAATTAAATACCAAACTCGTTCGCGATTACTTAATTTTTCTATACTTGCTTGGATTTGTTCATAATAAGAAAAAGTTTTCCACATTCGAATCATCCTCTAATGATAAATTTCGAATTTTGCAGAAAAAAAGACCCGTGAATCGACAGAGTTACGAAGAAAGGAATTGTAGCGTGAGGATTGTCAGCAGCTTTCTTGCATGTCATTACCGCGAATCGCGTGAGCTTTTGGCGTTGTGAAAAGCGAGTAGCTTTTAGAGCGTAAACTTTTGAATACTTCTCCGAGTTGGCAAATTGGAGCGAAAAGTGAACGGAATTGGCCGGAATTGGCAAAACTGAAGCTCTGATTTCAGATCTGAGTGGCTTTTTTAAGACAAACAAAAATTTGCGATGCGTGAAATAAAAGAAAATTATATAAAATAGATTAAAGGAAATCTCCTTTCATCCATTAAAAATTGATAGATTCAAATGTCTATCGTGAACTCGACAAGTTTCCTAAACCTTTAAGTATTTAAAAAAAGCGCTGAGAAAAAAAAATGCATGTGCTTGAACTTTAAAGAAATGACAAAAAAGCACTGTCATCATAGAAAAGACTTGTTAAGTCCAACGGAAATGAGCTTGCAGCTAAAAATTACTGACTAGAGCTAAAATTGCGTTTTTTTGTTAATTTTTTTCTCAAATACCTTTATTCGTCAAATAATTGTTTATTTACATTTTAACAAAAGATGAAATTCATCATTTTTCAATAATGACCCAAAAAACGAGGATTAATAAATTATTTAGATATAATTTTATACTGCTTTAATTATAAAAATTATATATATTATATTTAAACTTTTAATTTTTAATAAAAATTTAAAAAAAAAAGTTATGTGTAATGAAACTTTGTTGTTATTTTAGTTTCAATTCTTTATTTATATTTAATAATAAACTATTAAATATTGTGTTAAATTGTTTTATATTTCATATTTAATTTAATTAGTTAAAAATTATTAAATTTTCAACAGAAAATATTTTATAAAATTATGTGCGCATATCTGCTTATCATTGTACAATATGCATACATCATTTTGTTTTACTCCATTAAAAATAATTAACAGAAGAAAAGCGACTTTGTCCTCTTAAATGTTGTTTTTTACGTTTTTCTTCCTTTAAATCTTTCAATCACGATAAAACTTGTTTTCTTCACTTCCAAATCTTCCAATTGCCTCTCCCCGCGTGCCAAAAATAATCTTCAATAAAATCAATTTAATATAAATAATTAAATTTTATCCGACTATATTGAAATTTATAATGAAGCTTACATGGAGGCTTTTAAGAAAATTTAAAACTGAATTATTTCATAGTTTGAGCTATAAAGAAACTTCTTATTAACAATTGCAATTATGTATTTAAATTGTGTTTATTTTATCAAAGAATGAGTTGTTAGAATATTATTCACGTACTAACTTGGCAATTAAAAATTATACCATTTTATACAATCATGCCTGCTAGACCTGTTTCATTTTCTACGAAATTCCGCGTCCTGGTTGTCATCTAGTGCGCCGATATAATTGTTACGCGTAAATGCATCGTAGTTGGTGTCCGAGCGGTCGGCCTTGATCGTTCAAGGCTAATTACGCTGTTGCTTTTGCTTGCCCGACGGGTATGTTGTTGTGCCGTAATAATTGAGCTTACGCTCGAGATGCACTTGCACTTTCACGCGACGGCGGCGGCGGCGGCGGCGGCGGCTGCGGACCGGCCAATGCCCCGTTCGCCGCCTGTGTCAGTCACACTCGCATTTCAAAACGACACAGTTTCTTTTCTATGCGTTTCAATAATCGCAGTGATTACAATTGACCTGCGCAATTATGAAACAAAGCCGCAATTGACTCACCCGTCGGTCTAATTGCCTAATATAAATAATAATATAATTTATAATAATATATGAAATTAAGCTTTTTATTTTATTTTTTTTAAATATAATATTGAATTAAGTTTTTCCATTTTTCTGTAATTTTACAAATTTTATTATTCCCCTGTTTAATTTTAATTTATTCAATTAATTTCCCAAATATACTTTTGAAAATATGATAAGTGTGATAAATTGATTGTGTGTTTTTGCTGCACATTGTTGGTTAAAAAGTGATAAGATTAGTAAACAAATTATCTGCGGTCTTCCCAGCACGTACACCCAAAACATACTATGATTTTTTTTTAATTCAATTTACAATTTTACTTTCATTTGCGATACAAATTAACAATAAGGAATTATTTTTTGTGGCCTATATAGTTTTGCAGGGTCAATTGATCAGGACATAATTAATAAAAGCCGTAAAGCTACAACATGACAAAACTGGCCACGTGACTCAGCAAGGTGAAATTTGCAGAAATCCCATTTCATTTTCGTCGGAACAATTTTAATTCATCTGACCTTCCTTGGACACGGCACTGATTTTTTTAAGCAGGATCGCGGCCTTCGTTCCGCAATACGGTTTGCATTTTTCCTGGTTTAAGTGGTTTATTTTATTACATTTTTTTTAAATAAAAAAAAGATAAAATTAAAATATTAGGGAATAAAAACAAAATTTAAGCTCGTCAGGATTGAAAGTAGAGGAAAGTCGCTGCGGTTTTAATTTTACAAAATTGTGTTTCACGGCTTCAATTGTAACCTTGAGAGCACAGGAGCAATAAATGAAGTTTTGTCAATTTGAAAGAGGCAAACAAGAACAATATACAAATAATAATAATCTAGCTTTTATTGTATTCTAGCTGCAAGCCAAAAAACGAGATTTAGCCAAGTGTGCTTGTCAACGCAGTTTGTTGGTAAATATGTGAACAACGTGTGAATTTTGGCGCAATAAAGTTTTATATTTTAAAAAAAAGGAACTAAAAATGAAAATAGTTTATTAAATTTGTATATATTAAATATTACAATAAATATATACCAAATTAAAAATAAGAATTAAATTAATTAAAATAAATATTATTAATTGAATATTGTGATATGTTTGATTTATTTTGCAATAAAATCTTTTATTTTTTTAATTTAAGAATAAAAATTGTTAAATTAATTTTATATTTGTCTTAATTATATTAACAAAATTAATTAAGATTATTACTTATAATAATATATTTTGCTTATATTGCCAGTTATGGTAATTTTAGTCTTAATTCATTTGAAAAAAATTTATATTTATAAGCTTTTTAGCTCATAATTTATAATTTTATTAAAATTTAATACCTTCATGAGGGCAAAACGTTGATCGTCTGCGAGATCCATGACTGCGTTGGACACGGGCGGCATTACAACTGTTTTGAGATGAAGCCTCGGACGTGTGTAAAATTTGATGAATATCTGCGCACACACGTGTGATAAGACAACAATGAGCTGAGCACGCGATAAATGTCTTATCTCGACAACGCCAAACAAAGTACTGGGGCTCGTGCGTTTTGCGTCGTGTTTGAGAAGAGAGAGGTGTGTTGGGTGCGCACCGCCTGCGCCAAGAACAAGTGCATCGGGCCCCACGTTCCCCTTCTACTCAAATGAGCACCGTTCCTTTTCTAGCCCCCACCGCCGTGTGAATATTACATCCTTTGCTTCACAAAAAAATTCTTGAATCAATATTTAATTATATGTTTTAGAGGGAAATTCAGTTTATAAATGAAAATATCTCAGATTTTTTTCCTCATAGTCATATAAGCATGATATATTTTTGGTCAACAAAATTTAATATATTTACATAAATTAAAATCACACAGAGATCCGATTTTTAATGCACAAACCCAAAATGATATATAAATGCAGTATGCAGAATGAATAGTTTTTTGTTAATATTGTCACGGAAATGATAATTAAGTCACAGAGTATCACACACAACGTCGATCTTCTAACTAACTCTAACAGTTTTAAGTGTAAATAAATATAATATTTGTCACCTACTTTGATTATTTTAATAATTACTTTTGAATAATTGTATATTTGCAATCTACACTCTCTGTATTTCAAATAGCTTGACGTCCGTGTTGTACCAAATAGGCGGGTCGACGTTCCTGGTAAAGAAAAATCAAAATTAGATTGAAATGAGATAAGATTTATAATAATTTTACCTCAGATAAATAACGCCCCACATGTAAGTGCGGAACCAGCTGGTTGTGCCCAAATTGGCCTGATACTTTCTGATCAGGATGGGGTGAGGCACCGGAAGCAAACCAACCAAAGTGCCGTGCTGCAAGAACTTGAGAATCTCACTCTCGTCGGTCAAACCCCTTTGAAAAGCAGCGCATTTTATTAAAAAAAATATCCAACCAGAATTTGAAAACCCACTTGTCGATGCAAATTTTCTCGACCTGCGGAACGAGCACCTGCAGCAGGCGCATGATGGTCTGCAGAGGCAATTTGCCCTTCCAGCTCTGCACCCAGTCCGAGGTCGGAATCCACTGTTGCTGTTGCTGCGAAGAAGAAGAAGAAGAACCCTGTGTTGGAGAAGAACTGCCTTCAGTCAGTTGCAAGCTGCGCCGCTGCACACACACAAAAGCGAGAATGGTTAAGCCATGCAAATAGAGCACAAGAGCAACAAGGACATAAAATAAGCTCGAAGCGATTTTATTTGATTTACCAAGGACTGGGCTCTCTTCAAGCTGGTGGACGAGCCAGCCTCGCTGCTTGTGGGACTAGTTTTTCTGGTTCGCTGCAGAGAAGGAGCCTCACCCTCGTCTTCCTCCTAATCAATTGTTATTTTACTGCCCAAAATTTATATTTTTAAATTGTTTACTTTGATTTGAAGAAGGGCGGTTTCAGCAGCAGCCCTGCTCAGTGACGAAGCCACCTCGCTTTCGGGACTGGTCAACGAGCCAATCGTAAGTTCGTTGAGCTGACGAGAAGAGGGATGTGCGGACTCGCGTTCGGTGATTTTGTCGATTGCTAAAATTCAGGTCAGCCAAAATCCTTGCAATTTTGTGCGTTTACTGATATTCAAACCTGGAATGGCTGGCAAGGTGGCCTTCAGAGTGCCCGGCTCGGCCGGCATGGCTGGACGAGAGCCTTCCATGGCCTCTTCCTCCTCCGCCCGCACCTGGTCGGCTTCGGCAGAGGAACTCGCTTTGTCCTCGGGTGGGATTGGCGGAGGCGTGGGCAAGGTTGGTGTCGTCGGGCGGCTGCTGGCCGTGGGTCTCGACTTGCCATGCATCGAGCGCCTGGTGAGTGAGCGGCTGATGGTGCCGTAGTCTGACGGAAGATTGGCCAGCGAGTGGAAAACCTGCCGCTTGCGAATGATGGTGTAGACCAGGTTCGAATTGCCTGATTTTATTTTAAATTTTATTAAGTCTGGATTTTGAAGAATACAAAAAAATTACCGTCAAATTGGTACTGGATTATGTTGTTGAAAATTTCCAAAAGGAAGAAGACCAGGTGGTGGTTCGTCGGGGCGGAAAATAAGAACCAGGGGGTGCTGAATGCCTCCAAGAGGTGCAGCAATTTTGTGCTGGCCACCATCGACAACGTCTTCAGATATGGAGAAACTAATCCAAATAGGTATAATTAAAAAGAATTTAAATCGGACAAGGTTTTTACCATTTACGAGAATTGTCAAAAGACAATCGAAAAGTGGCTGGAGCCTCTGATGGCCGGTGGTGATGATCTTGTGGAAAACCGTGATCAGGAGATCGGCGTGAGTGCCTTGAATAAAAACAAAACTGTGATTCGAAGTTACAAAAAAGTTTATTATGATTCGCACCTGTGAATACTGGAATGTCCATTGGGATGGTCGCCGTGTACGGTTTATTCAGCCTGACTCCGAAATTCCTTTCGCCACTCAAAAGGAGCAGAATAAAAACTCCGATGTGCATCAGACCGACTCGAGCTAATAAAGGATGAATTTAATTCAAGTTTTAAATTAATGAAAGATCTCTTACATTGGTCAGCCCTGGAATCATTCAGGTGGAACAAAATGGGCACCAGAATTTCCAGAACGTCGCTGCTTTTAAGGACAAAGTAGAGGAATTTCTGCGAAGGAAAAAATTTATAATTTAAATTAAAAATTTAAAATAAATTTCCTAAAAAAAATTAAGATTACCTTGTTGTAGTCGCAGAATTTCCAGAAAAAGATGAGCAGCTCTTGATGGAAAGAAACCTTCTTGGTCGAGTTGGGCAAGTAAGTCTGCGCCAGCGGGTTGTTGAGCAGCCGAGTGAAGCCGCGGAGGACAAAGCCGAAGTCCTCGTCACGGTGGATGCGCGACAAATAGTTGATGAACAAGTTGTCCTGGCTGACGTTCTGCTGGGACGGCTAATAATTATAAATTTGATACCGATTTAAAAAAAGCAAATCGAATCTGCTCACGTCAGCATTGGCGCTTGAGTTGGGCAGGCCTTCGTGGTCCAGGGTGGCAATCAGAATTTGGAGCGCCGTCTCGACCAGCGGCTCACGCGAGTCCGTGAATATGAGGTGGTTGTACGGAACCAGACCCAGACCGACTGGATCGTAGCTGCAGCAAACGTTCAGCAGCGAGGTGAAGATCGGCAGGGCGTGTCGGTTCTCGGGAGATGTGAAGTGCGAAACCCAGCGATTTACTTGGCCTGTGCCACTGTCTGCAAATTTAAAAAGAGGAGATTTTATTATCTACACTGTATAAAATTTCTCAAAATTTTCCCATCAGACCAATCTAAATTTTGTATGAAGACTGACCTATTCGATTTTTTCCACCCTAATTGGGATGATATGAAAGTGATTTTGATTTTCAATCAAAATTTTTCTATGTCATTTGGTACGTTTCGAAAATGCATTTTCTGCACTATTCAAGTGATGTTATTGCAATTGTCACCAAGTTTATATTCACTAAAACCGACTATTTCTTCAATTTCCAACTAAAAAAGACTAAAATGACTGACTTTTTATTAATGTTTTTTTTAAGTGAAAATAAAAATTAGGTTTTTTTCAGATTACAAAGAAGGAATACAATATCGATCAAGGTTAAATATTAATAATATTCCATATAATTACAAAATAATATTATGTGTTTTGAGCTCTTTTAGAATAAAAAATCTAATTTTTAAAATATAATTTTTTTCCAAAATATCAAACAAAGCACACATTTAATAAATTAATTTTAAAAAAGGAATTTTAAAAATGATGAAAAATTGCTGATTAAATTTTATTTGATGCATACAAAAAATGATAAAGATTTGAAGAAAAAGAACAACTAAAACCGACTATTTTGGCAAACACCAGCTAAAAAAAATCAACTAAAAAATGGTCTGTGTTAGTTGATTTTGGCTGGTTTTTGTCAAAATAGTCGGTTTTAGTTGATTTCTCTTAATTGAGATTTCAAAATACATAAAAATCCCAAATAATTGAGAAAAAAATCAACCAAATAACCAGATAAAAATCAACTCAAAATAATTTAGACCCCTAAACACCTAAATATGCACGAGCTCCAAATTTTATTTTAAAACATATTTTCGGAGCAAATTTATTTCATATAATGAACCAGATGGACTCAAAATTGATACCTGAAGGCTCGTAATACATGGTCTCACTGAAGCAAGTGAGCAGAAGCTTGAGAAGCTCGGTCCGGTGCGAGTCGTGAGTCGGGTTGTGCGGAAGCGACAGCGCCGCCCCGACGCCACTTTCCCAAATGAATTCGCAGCTGTCGATGGCATTTAAATCTTCCGCCTTGTCCTACAAATCCCAGATATCAAAATTAATTAAATTGTTTTACATAATTTATTTTTTCAAACGTACTGGACCGGATTTTCTGCTGGCCGACACCGTGAAGTCCGGACAAAATTGCAAATCCTAAAGGAACAATTTTAGATCAAAAAGCTAAATTTTGTATATATTAAATTTTACACAAATAGCGTTGAGAAGGGAGTGCGCCAAGGGGGTGGCATGTTCGTTTTCATAGTTTGGGCCCTTGTCCGAGGGCAGGCTGGTCCAGAAGAAGCCGCGCCAGTCCGGGTCCTCGAAGATGTACGGCAGGATGCGCGTCAGCAGGCGGACACAGTTCAAAACGGTTTCGTGGTCCTTCTGGGTGCGGCAGCTCGAGTCGACGGCGCCGATCAGTCGCTCCACGGCCTTGTAGCAAAGGGTTGCCAAATTCTGCGGCGCCTCTTCCCGCAACGCTCGGATCTCGGCCGCCGGCACCAGGGTGAAAACGTCCTGCACGCTGTTCAGGTTCTCGCTCCAGAACTGGTTCCAGAACGAATCGTCCGACGCTTCAATCGGCTGCAATTAAATTTGAAAATTATGTAACTGATACAAATATTTCACACGAAAAAAGTACAATCTTTATAAATTTAATTTTAAAATATAAAAGGGAATTTGAAATGTTAATAATTTTTATTACAGGCTCAAGAAAATTGAGTTATTTGAATAAAAATTCATTTGAAAATCATAAGTAAATAAGATTAAAAAAAAAGATACTTAAAAAGAACAGAGCGCAAAAGACGTGGATTTATAAACAACATTTTCACGGCTAAATATTTCTTGTTTCGAATGAGAATTCCGTCGATTCGGGTGTTTTATTTGAATTTTTATTTTCAAATCTTTGAATACGCACCTGAGTTTTTGATGTGAGCTGTACGACGGCCTTGCGAAAGTTCAATTTAGTGTCCGTGTTGCCCATTTTCGCTATCTCTGTTGTCCAGTCGCCCCCGCAGCCAGCTGGCACTTGACAGGCAAAAAAATTTATGACACAAGTTCAAACAAACTTGCAGGCGCCATCTGTGATCTGCTGAAGAAACCGGGGAAAATTGACGAGGAACGGCGGCGTTTAAGATAATTATACGATCTAGCGCAATCTCCTTATAGGTATGCAACACATCGGTGATTTTTTTTAATAAAGACATTATTTTTTTAATATGTTTTGAGTCCAGCCAACTTCAAGCCACTTCAAGCGGAGTTTACATGTGAAAATTTATATGATTTTTTTTATAATTGTGAATTGTGATAAAAACACTTTTTTTATTCGAATTATTGAACATCATATTTCGATTTTCAAAAGAATTTTAACGTGGATTCAGAAACTGAGCGAGAAACCAATGCTCGGAAAAACGAATAAAAATAATTAAAATTTCCAATTAAAGTTGAAATTTGGACATTTTAATTATCATAAAATTATCATAATAAAACAAAAAACATTTTAAATAAAATTTTCAAGCAGATGCATCTGAAATAGTCAAATCGGTACATTCTTTGATTGTTGCTGATTGTTGTACTCTGGAGTCAATGAGTTCTATTAAGTAGTTTTAATGAGTCAAAAAAGGTCCCGATTTTGTCTTTTCCATAATTTTCACCGCATTTTTCTATGCAAACCAAGCAATTTTGAGATAAATTGATCATGAAAGCCATTTTTAGCAGTTCCTTAAATTCGATCCCATAATTATTTTTGTTTATATGTCCATTTTGTTTACATTCAATGGAAGAAAACAATTTATTAGAAAAGAAAGGAATTTTTGATGAAATAAAATCCGGCTTCCTCGGTGAAGATGAGCAACTTTATTGTTTCTGCATGGTATAGAAAATCAATGCTCGGTTGCAACCCTAATTCATGAGCTGTTGAAATGAAAAAAGCTGACATTTAATCAAATTTAATTACATTTTGAGAAATTAACATGCAAAAAAAATTTTAAATTAAATTACAACATTTTTCTCCTTAATTTTAAAATACAGAATATTGGAATTAATTCAATTTTAAGAATAAAATTTCAAAGCAAATTCAGAAAACTAACAAAATTCAAAATTGTGGAAAAATTGCGTACCTCTTTTCTCGTCGGAAGACGAAACGAAACTGATTTGGGGATTTTAAAGGCAAGAAATGTATTGATGGACAAAACTGCACCACCACTATTGAGAATTTCGCTAAAACTTCTGATTCTGAGGTCAAAAAACGTCAGCCTTGGTTGACAAAGCTTGTGTTTTTATAGCTTTTTGATTTTGGGTTTAGTGCAAATATCAAAATCGTAAGAAAAAAACATTATTTAAATACAATTGACAAATTATTAATGTCAGAAAAGAGTTTTGTTTCAAACGCTTTTTTTGAAAAATCTGATTTTAGAGGAAATTAAAGCAAAAATGCTTCCCGTTTTTCCCTTCGAGGTGGCACCAGCGTGACTCGTTTTCCGCGCGATCCGGAGTGCAGGGCGCGTGCTCGGGCGGCGGGGCACGGCAGGGAGGAGGGCGACGGGGGCGGAAAAGCAGCGGAAAAGGGCAGTTCCTGTGCGGGCGCTTGTCGGTGCGAGCGTCTCTCGAGTGCGTATTTCTGCGGCTTCGACGATGTCCTGCCCCCTGCGTCCCGCGACGGCCGAGCAGCAGCAGCAGCAGCAGCCCCTTCTGCAGAAGCACCGCCGAAGACACCCCAGCGAGAATTAATTGCTCGAGAGCGGCGGCGATGGCGCTTCTGTGGGCCGTTTGCGCCCTGCTCGTCTGCACCTCGGCAGGTGAGAGCGAAACGCACACCCCAAGGCGATCAATGCTTATGCAACCCTCGCTGCTAAATAAATTTCGCTGCTTTAATTGCGAATCTCTCGCGTGGGTGCAGGTTTTTTCCTCCCCGCGTCTCGAGAGAAACAAAGGAAAAGCAACCCCTCGGTGTATGTTCGCGGGGGCGGCCCACGCAGCGCCGAGTGCCGTGTGTACAAAAGAATGACACCCACGGCCTCTTTCGCCCGCAGAGATGCCGACAGCAGATTCCGTCCCCGCGTAAAGATAGCTAGGGATGCTGTGTGCACCCCGTGTGTGTAGGCGTGACTCGGTCCTTCTCTTTCTGCGCCCCGATATAAGATTGCACCTTGCTCTTGATGCTCTCGCTGCTTATTGATCTCCCGTTGATTTTCGCACCGTAATCAACACACCGAGCCACTTAATTTGCTCCTCGTCCTTCAAATTTAAGAAATATGAAAGAAAAGTTCAACAAAAGATTTTTCAGCTTCCTGTATTAATTTTATTTAAAAACGTGTAAAACTCGACCCAACGATTTGCGAAATTGAAACGCATTTTGAATGATTGATTATTGGGCGTGCTGTTTTTTTTATAAATTTCAAAGTTCCCGTGAAATTTTGGAAAACGGCGTCCATTTTAACTTGAAAACTAGGAAATTTCAGTCTTCTTTTAATCTTTCAATTTTCCAAAACTCTCAATTAATTATTATTTGTAGTGAGGCTACAGTCTGCATATCCTAATTTGTACCAAATTAAAATCATATTAAATAATGAGATAAATATAAATATATTTTCTAAATTTATCTTGTTTTATAAAATCAGAACATTATTCATTTAGGTCAAATTCAAATTTAGAATCGATATTGCATGGCGACCGCAACAATGTTTTATTCAGTTTTAGTTTTTATTACTGACAATTATTTTATTACATCCGCAAGTTTGTCGAAAGAGAGCGCCGATTTCCATTTATTATTATTATTATTATATTAGTACACATTTGAAATAAATGGAATAAAATCTCACAAAAATGTAAATTTGGCCGACGACGCAATTGTTTGAAACCAGCGTTTTTGGAATCACAAAAATTCTCTAAACTTATTGAGAATAAAATTAGTCTAAACTTGTACCAAACAGAAACTAACTAATTAAAACGCAATGAAAATAATAATAATAATTTATGTTGAGATACATATCATTTTTTTCTACTTCTTTTTTTTCTGATAATGTGACAATCAGGAACCTCCATGAATTTAATGAGTTGTTCTCACTTAAAATGAATAAATGAGCACAGAATTTGTAAGCTTCCTGCTGTGTTTTTTAAGCATTGATTTTCAACTTTTAACATTTGCAATGATTGCTCAATTGGTTTGAACACAAAATATACTGTTTTTCTGCAGATTCTATTAAATTGTGTTTCAAAATTCCAACCAAAAAACCTCATGGAAATGAAAAAATGGGACTTTTCCACGTTGCAAAGATTGTTTTTATTCAAAAAGTGGTTTGGTCTTTTTTAATAAAAACTATTTTTGCAACGAGGAAAAGCCCAATCTCTTCAGTTCAATGATCATCTCCTTGAGTGTGAATTTCTTCACACAAAAAACCTCACATTGCTATTTTTTTTAATTTGCTAAAAATTTAAATTATATTTTAAAGACCAGAAGAGGATTTAAAATGCTTATAACGCTTTAATAATTTAAATATTTGGAGATATGACATCAAATTTTCTCTCAAAATTTCAAAATTAAGAAGAAATTGATTTTATAAAGAGCCAAAATTTAAAACTAATTTTTTTTTTCAACAATTTGTGATTCGCAGTCGGATCTTTTGGTTGCTGGCAGTGTCGGTTTCAGTTTATAGTTTCATTCGGCGTTGTGTGCGTCTGATGAGAGAGAAATAGAGAGACAGATCAGGTCAAGAAAGGGAGAGCGCGGGGGTGGTGCGGCGAGGGACGGGGGCGGCTGGTGCGCGCGTATTGACGAGGGCCCCCAGCTTGCGAGCGAACGAGCGCTGTTTTGGTGCGGCGGCGGCGGCGGCCGGCGCTGCTGCTTCGGGTCCATTGAGAGGAACTCGCGAGGCTGCGCAAATGTTTTTCATTCACTACGCCCGCTCGCCGGTATTGACTGGCACGACGAGAGAGACCATGTGACCTGCCCGCCTGAGGACGCCTGCACCTGCACGCAGAGACCGACCGAGACCGACCCGGCCGATTGCTCAATGAAATTTTCTGGCTTGGCCCCAACCCCGCGCCGACACGCGCCACCGACCCCACAATTTCCCGCACCTCCCGCGCACTTCCTTTTTATTTTTGTGTAATAATAGCACCGCGAATCGATTGAAATGGGGCTCTGCGAAAAGAAAAAAGGCTGAAATTCCGGGATTGTTCCTCAGAATTGTCATTAAATACATAAAAAGTTCGATTTGCCTTCAAATTTATGAGATTTACTTGCAAAAAGTCATTTCGTAATATTGCTGATTATTTTCTTTCATTAAAATTAGACATATCATCGCAGTTAATCAAATTTACACTTCCAAAAATGCTGGAAAATTAATTTAATATGTTTAATAGTTGAGTTAAAATAATTTAAAACAGATTTAATTATATATAAATTGAATAAAAATTATGTTTATTATTTAATTATTAAATATTTGAAAATATTTTTATTATTATTTATAAAATATTGCACTATATTTTATAATTAAAAATAATATTAAAAATTTTATCAATAAAAAGTCAGTTAATTCAAATTAATTTAAAAAAAATTTCCTTAATAGTTAGTTTACAAATTTTTATATTTTATATATTACAACAAAACATTAATTATTTTACTTTCTTTATTCAATAAATAATTCAATCAGTTTTTAAAATTCATTTATATTCTTACAACCCAAAGACAGAGGAAGTAATTACATAAGGATCCCTGGTCACTATTTTTTACTTCAAACCTATGAAAATTATAATATTTATCAACTTTTGACTATGCTGTCTTATTTTTTTCAATTATTAACAAAATTATGCAAAAATTGTTAAAAAGTAATTAGTAATTCCTCATAAATTTTGATAAAAAATAAGATATTACTACTGTTCTCTTTAGTGAAACCAAAATTAGAACAAAATTTAATTTATTTGAAAATAATAAAACAATTTTAAAATACATTGAAAATTAACTACTTCAGGTAGATTTCATGATTTTTAAACAAACTGCTTGGATTGCTCCATATTATTTTTCTCTT